ATGCGTCGGTCTGAACCCCAGCTGTTCCTCTTAGTAGCTGTGTGACTTTGGGTACATTAATTAACCTCCCTAGGTGCCAGATCCCTCCACTGTAAAATGTTCTCAGTGGTCTCTGAGGATTAAATGAATTACTTCATATCATCCCACTCAGTACCTGGGAGCCACAGGGAAAGGACCAGGGCCCCAGCCTGCTGGCCACAGCAAACAGAAGTGAGGGCTTGGCATCTAGATGGGGGTGAGAGGAGGCCCACCTGCCAGGCCTCCGTACACTGGGGGCTTTCGGGAATTCAGGGTCCTGCAGTAATCACAAACTGACAGAGTGATGGCAATGCTGGAAGCTGCTGTTTAGGGAGCACCCACTATATGCCAGGCTCTCTGCTTGCACTTGGACTTTTAGGCCAGTTCAGACCTCTGCTTGGAACCTGAAAGACCCCGAAAGTTGTGAAATTCACCTCCCATCCTCAGACAAGCACCGCTGGGGAGAGGAACACAGGCTTTTTAGAGAATGGGGAACATTCCTTCTTACAGCCGCTGCTCTGAGACCCTCCCCGGCCCGGGAAAGAAACCTAACACCCTCTAGTCCCCTGTGATGCGCTGGCTGCCAGCAGATCTTTACATACACAGTCGCATCAAATCGTCACACCAACTCCATGAGGCAGGAACTGTCAGCCTATGCTCAGTTTGAGGAAACTCAGGCTCCAAAGGATTACGTGACTTGCCCAGGGTCACCCAGTGCCAAGTGGCAGATCCAGGACAAGAACAAAGATCTTTGGACTTCAAAGTCCACCCTCCATCGAACATCCTAGCCGTCTCGGGTGGCAGGGCCCCTTCCTTTCTCTCTGCACAGATGGCTCCCCAGTGGCCATCGAGAACTGCCTCACACCCACCCGAGCTGGAACTTGTGTTGACTCGGCAACTATTGAATGAATCTCAGAGGAAGTTTGAAATCCTAGACAGAAGTGAATATCTGACACAAGGAAGAAGCAAAATGCCTAGTAACAGAGGGGAACATACCCCTGAGCCTCTGTCAGTCCTCTGCGCACTTCACCCCACTAGCCACAATGAGCCCGTGCAGAGGTTCTGTCGTTATACCCACTGTACAGATGAAAGGACTAAGGTTTGAACAGTTAGACATGTTTCTCCAGCTCGGAAGGGGCAGAGCCAGGATTCGGACCTGGCTTGTCTGTGTCTTGACCCCGTGCTTTGCTCAGCTCAGCCCGCTGCTCCTCATTTATTCCCACCCTGTTGAACCGTGTCTCCAACGAGGTGCTGCCCTTGCTCGGGAGAAAGATCTGCTAAGCAGCTCTCTCATGCGTCCCCGGAGTTCCATAAGGACATGGGGGGGGGTGCCCCCAGGGGTCCAAGACAGTCCCAGGAAGCTAAGAAAGCAGACAGACGCCGCCCCGTCCCGGGGGCCTCCTCCACTGCTTCGCCAAGGCTGCAGATTCCAGGCCCCAGGGGGAAGAAGGATTTTCCAAAACAGAACATGAGGCCTCGGCAGGCGTCCACACTCCGGCTCCTGGGGCCCCAGGCAATTGTGTAAATACTTACACACTCGACTCCCTGAACTTTTCTTCCTCCTTAATTGGCTTTCTGGTTTTCTCAGCTGCATATGCCAAGTCATCTGGAAACGAGGGGCACCACCTGCTTCCACCCCATGCTCTGCTAGGCTGAGTGGGATTCTGGAGTCTGCTCAGCATGTCCGTGCCCACCAGATTCAGGGGGCGTGTCCGGGGAGACAGCATGGGAAACAAGAACCCCTGGGCACATCTCAGCTCCAGGCTCCTGGGGCCCTCCCTCCACCCCTGCCCCCACCCCTGGGCTTCCCTGTTCTGACTGGCGCCTTGGGCCAGTCCTGACCCAGGTTGTCTGTTCTGCCTCCTCCATTTGATAGGTTCTTGAAGGCTGAGCCGAAGGTCCCCTCGGATTCCCCAGAGCATATGAGACTCTCTTCTGCTCCCCAGATACGCCCTGACCGGGCCCCTCCCTCCGGGTCCCCCTCCCTCCACCCTTGCCTGAGCCAGTCCACGGGCAGCTGTGGAGTCAGGAAGAGCCGAGTCCCAACCCTGCTACTCTTCCTCCCTCGTGCTCTGATCGTGGGCATCTCATTTCACTGTGGGCCTCACTGTCCTCACCTGTGCCGGGTGGCGTCCCACCCCACACCCCCAGGTGGCCCCCGAGTGCTGATTAAATGAGATGCTGTCTAGAAGGTGCTTTGTCCGACGGCTGACACCTAGCGGTGCTTCATAAACCCAGCAGATGTGTGTTATTTTTATTCTCACCTCCCCCCCCCCCCACCAAAATACCCCACTGTTTCTCACCTCCACGCCTCTGCCCCGCAAGGCTCCCTCTTCCTGGACAGCCCTGCCCAACCTGGGTTCCCCAGCAGACACCAACCCAGTCTCACAGCTCCGCTCGAACTATCCTCTCACACGAAGCCTCTTCTACACCCCAACCTGCAGGCCAGGCAAGATGGATGGATGCTCCCTGCACACTCCCTCCCCAGCCCCGATGCGCCCACACTCTCCACTGCCTGGGACTCTCCTCTCCTCCGTCCCCAGAGCCCAGCACAGGCCGGGGCTTGGCACAGAGGAGACACTTGATGCAACAACAGGAATCACAGCTCGCCCCCCTAGAGAGCTTCTTCTCTCTCTCTCTATATATATTTTCTTGTAACTGGCTTCACTCCCTCTGAGGGAGGTTTTATCATCACACCAGTTATACAGATGGGGAAATCAAAAGGCAGCAAGGTCAAGTGACGTACCCAAGGTCACGGAGCCAGAGGCAGGGTTGGGATTTGAACTCGGGTGCATGCTCTTAACCACTCCAGGTAAGAGAAGGAGTTAGAGGAGGAAAAGCTTCAGGGGATGTGGGCTGAACCCCAGGGTCACAGACGCTGCAAGCACCAGGGAGTCCGTGTGCTAAGAACCCAGTGTGACCCTGCTCATGTCCCATATGAGAAAGCCCTTCACCCTGCGGCCCCAGGGCAGAGAGACCCCACCCTCCAAACGACTGAGCACGTCTAACCAGCACCCGGGTAATGCTGACGCTGCCACCGCCTGCACTTTGGGGAGGGAGCGTCTCGAGCAGTGGCTCTCCCAGCGTGGCCCCCACACCAGTAGCTTCAGCTGGGAGCTAGCCAGAAATGCATGTTCTCAGGCCCACTGCAGACCTACTGAGTCAGAAACTCAGCTCTTGCCGAGTAACACGAGTGTGAGGAGCCCTCCTCAGGACGGAGAGGCACCAGATCTCAGAACCGACTGGTCTTGTAGCCATCGTGCGAGCCCCAGCCCTACCCTATCCCCTCAGTCAGCTCACGGCGCTCCTGGAGGCGAGTGCATGGGTATGGCAGCGGCCCTGAGGGTCAGCCCTGGCTCTGCCCTCGCCAGCTCTGTGACCTGCGGCAGGTCCTCACCCTCTCTGAGCTCCAGAGCCCTAAAGCAGGGATGTGGGAGCCGCCCTCCTGCTGCAGAGGAGGCCCTAGATTGCACTGTCCCACTTCCGTCCCAGCCCTCATGACTGCCTGCAGTTCTCGATGACAGGGCTCAACGGTCAGGCAGTTTCTCGTGGACACAATTAAAGTGGTCCTTACAGAGATGAGGGTGACCACCGGGGAACTGCAAATAGTGACACGTCCATGTTGGAAGGACAGGGTGGGGGGTGGGGTGCAAATGAAGAGACCATTTAACTATCAGAGGAGGATGTCAACAGAAGAAGGAGTTGACCGCAGTCAAACGGATGAACAAGAGAGTACCATCTCTGAATCGTTCCTAACACGCTCTAAACCCTCTCTCCATCTGACATCCTTCTACTCACGGAGACGCACGCAGACGTATGTGGGCTGACAACCAGCGCCAGCATCTGTGTAATGAGCCCAGGGGCACTTTCTGGCTTTCCCCTTTAAACTTTCCTGTACCGGGTGAATTTTGTATAATTATCAAACAATAAAAATCATTACTTAAAAATAGCATTACAGGCATATTATTTAGCAAGGCAGGAGTAAATATGAGAAGAGTTCAAAGCAATTGTCTCTGGGAGTGGATGAAGAAAGGAGGGGTGGGAGCAAAGGACACATGGACGTGTCATTTGGTTAAAAGGACTTATTAAAAATACAAAGAAATTCCGACACACACTACAACATGGATGAACCTGGAGAACGTTTGTCTAAGTGAATAAGCTGGTCACAAAGGGACGACTACTATAGGATTTCACTCATGTGAGGTCCCTAGAAGAGTCAACCACACAGAGACACTAAGGAGAACGGCGGTGGCCAGGGGCTGGGGGAGGGGAACGGGGATTGTGTTCAATGAGTTCAGAGTTCAGTCTGGGAGGTGAAAGGTTTCTGGAGACCGATGGTGGCGATGGCTGCACAACAATGTGAATGCACTTACTGTCACTGAACTGTCCCCTTAAAAATGGCTAAGATGGTAAATTTTATGTTGTCTGTATTTTACCACAATTTAAAAAAAACAACAGAGAGAGGAGAAAAGGTTTCAATATCCATGCCTGGTGTACCGTTTCCCATTAGGATGGAAACGGACCAGGGTGGTCCCTCCAGCGTCACTCTCCCTCAGTTTTTCTCAGTTGGAAGGTAGAGCAACGGGTCCAAGCTGTGCCTCCCACCGCGCTCTGCTGGCGTCAGGGCGGGAAGGCTCTCCATGGCGAGGGCTGTCCTGTGTGCCGTGGGACACTAAGCATCCCCAGCCTCCACGAGCCGGACGCCAGGGTCTCCTCCCAACCCAAGATGCAACAACCAAAGACGTCTCCTGACACTGCCAGACGTCCCTGGGGGACAAAATCGCCCTTGGTGGAGAACCGAGGGGTTAGACCAAGCCGCCAGGAACTGTGCGTGGCTGTGACCCAGGGCCGGCGGCGAGGATGTCAACATCCTGGGTGGCTGTGGGAGTGAGGAGCCCACACTCGCCCCCGGTGCCCTCAGAAGCCAGGCCGACACCCCCAGACCAGGTTGGGCGCCCGCCTCACCCACAGCCGCGCCTTACCCAGCCGGATGTCCCCCTCGAGTGTCATCAGCACGTTGCCGGCTTTCAGGTCCCGGTGGATGATCCTCTTGCCGTGCAGGAAGTTGAGGGCTTCCAGCATCTGGCGACACACGACCTGAATCTGGGGCTCAGTGAGGCCTCTGTCCAGCTCTGGGAACAGAGAGGAGAATGGTCGTCAGGTCAGCAAGCGATCGCTGCAGGCAATGGAGCGTCAGGCCCACCCCAGGTACAGAAATACAACAGCCACCAACCTCCTGGAGCACTCACAGTGCTCCAGGTTCACGTCTGAGCACTCACATTACCTAGTTCATCCTCTACGGCACAGGCACAATTATCACCCCATTTTACAGATGAGGAAACCAAGGCTCAGAGAGCTCAAGTCACTTGCTCAAGGTCACACAGGTAGAAGTCAAAGATCTGAGGTTCAGACCAGCCAGTCTGGCTCAGAGCTCAGACTCAGGGTTGGTCAACACAACCCTTCTGAGAGGCAGAGACTGTGCTGGGAGCAGGCACTGAGTGATGCTCCATGTCAGGCTCCACGCGTGGTGCAGGGACACAGAGAGGGACGAGGAAACAGTGAGAAATGCTCGGAAGAGAGTGGGATGCGGGCGCGTGGGAGGGCAGGACGGGCAGCAACCCCTCCTCCTGGGAACTGGGGGGCTCCCCAGAGGAAGGGCATTCGAGCCGTGTCTTGAATGTGTCTGAGAGGACAAAAGGGGGACCGGGGCATTCCAGGTAACGGAACCAGCAGAAGCGAAAACCTGGAGGCTGACACGAGCTGGTGTCACAGAATGTCAACTGGTGCCAGAACGTGGAAGGTGAGGGGTGGTGGAGGGCTGTCACCAAGAGCCTCTTGCATGCTCATCGGGGACACGTACACATGCTCCGTACAACCCGGAGTCCACTGAGAGATGCCAGAGCCCTACTCTGAGCAAGTGAGGACCGCGAAGAAGGGTATTCCACGCAGGGGGAACAGCATGTGTGAAGGACCCCTGCCGGCTGAAGGGGAAAGTGGAGTCAAGGTCAGGGTCAGCAAGCCCGACTCTGCGGCCTTTGCGGGCCATGCTACAGGCCGTGTTTTATCTGAACTAGAGCGGGCAGTCCAGGAGGGGCTCTAAGCGAGGCAGAGAGACCATCTGGTTTTTGCAATTAAAAAATTCCCTCTGGTGCACTGAATGAAGAGCTTGCAGGGGAGCAAGAGCGGGCAGGGAGCTCGGCCAGGGCCGTCACGGCAGTCCAGGAGGACCAGATGGTGGCCAGGGCGGAGAGAGGAAGGATTCCCGACTCGATGGGTCAGGGAGGCGGGAAGGACAGCATGAGGGACTGTGGGTGTGGCGGGAGGAAGGCCGAGAGAAGACCCACGATGATGTCCTGGGCTTGCTCCCCATGTGGCTGTCGGGATTGTTTATTCTTGGGGTACCTGAGCCCCTGTGGCGAGGTGAGGCCCCGCTGCCTGGCCTGCTGGGTCCTCAGACCGCAGGCTCCAAGGCTGGCCAGCCAGGGCCCTGCTCTGGGGCCACCCTCTGGCTAGTGCAGCCCTTGCCTGTGTCCCACTCTGCACCTGGCCAGGAACCCACCAGGCCAGGCCCCTCAGGCCTGGTGAAGACGAACACAACAGCCAGGGTGGAGGCGCCACTGCCCCGCCCCGGGAGGCCTGGGCCCAGAGCAGGGCTTCCGGACAGGCGTCCTCTCTCTGGGGTCCACAACTGCTCCCTGTCCCTGTGGCCTCATCCTTAACCTCCATGTCCCCCCTAGTTGGGGGCCAGGCCCAGAGCCTTCGGGGTCACACAGACGGAGCAGCAAGCTCAGCGCTGCCCCTCGCTAGCCGTGTCGTTTAAGTCGCTCCACCTCTCTGAGCCTTCGTTTCCTGGTCTGTAAGGTAGGATGATGCCAACCCACGTGGGCAGGGCTCTGGCAACATGGGTGTCAGCTCCTCAGCACGGAGGCCTGTCAATAAAGCTGACTATCGCTGTGTGGTCCTCAGATTATGCTGCAGGATCTGCAGCAATTTTTTTAAATGTCAGAAATGTGTGATGCTCGTGTCCGATGCACTTATATAAATGAAACAGGGATCAAAATGATGATGACAATGACAATCTCATCACCACTGCTTTTTGAGCCTTTACAGTGTGCCAGGCACGGGGCTAAGGACTTGGGTGCATTATTTCATTGGATTCTCACAATGCCCCAATGAGGTAAGCAGCATACCCTTTTAAGTCCAGTTTATTGTTATAATTTACATACAGTCAAATTCATGTTTTTTTAGGTGCACAGTTCTATGAATTTTGGCAAATGTATACAGTCACATCCCCACAATTTAGATACAGAATATTTCCACACTCCCCCAAATTCCCGTACCCCTTTGAAACCAACCTTCCAGCCCCATCTCCAGCCCCTAAGCAATCAATTTATGTCCTTACAGCTTTGTCTTTTTCTAGAATGTCACATAATTGGAATCATATAGTGTGATACATTTTAAGATTAATTTTTGATTACACAGCACCACTTGAATACTTTCTTCATATTAAAAACATTTGCAACACTGCAGATGCGTCTGAAGCCCCTTTGAAGCCACATCCCACTCGCCCTCACCAGCTCCTCTGCAGGAGACAAAACGTTTACCAGCTGGCAAGGCCAGGCCAACCGGATCGGCAGGACCTGGGTGTCAACAAACTAGAACGGCCACACAGAGCCGTGCGCGTGCACATTGTCCCCACCCCACACAGGGGCCGGCCCCACGGCTACCAAGAGAGGAACTTTGAACAGACCCCCGCCCACTCCTCCTCTGCACAACTCTGCAGGGCGATCGGGAGACGACCATGGGCAGAGCCCCTCTAGGCGGGCAGGCGTCTGAGGGACAGTCAGCCCCTCGTCACAGAGCCACAACCAGGCCCTGGCTCTCATCCCAGCTTCTCTTCTCCCACCTTGATTTCTAGAACGTCGATGGCAATTTTCCTTTAACTGCTGCCACGAACAAGGAGAAAACCACCAGGAGCTGGAGCAGTCAGTTCCACCAGAACTGAGCCAGGGAGGCAGGCAGTGAGTCTGCCTGCGGACTGAGCGTAGCCTGGGGTCACACCCGGCTGTGAATGAGGTCAAGGATCTGGTATGCATAAAGGCCTCTTCCATCTCTGACATTCTCCCCCACGCCTTATTCAGCTAAGCCGCTGGCTGGCTCCCACTCTCCCCTTCTTTGTTAGTACCTGAGCATATGGCCACCCAGCTAGAAGACCACATTTCCCAGCCTCCCTTCCAGCCATGTGTTACTATGTTCTACCCCATGAGATGTAAATGGAGGTGTCTTGAGGGGCTTCTGTGATGTCTCCCTAAAAGAGTGACAGTGGAGTGTGTGTTTGCAGAGTTGTCCTTCCCTCCCTTCTTCTATCCCACTGTTTGGAATTCAGATGTGATGGCGGGAGCTCCCATAGCCATCTTGTCACCAAGAATAGAAGACCAGCATGAGAATGGGGCCAACGCAGAGGAAAGTGGGGCCAACAGTTAGAGAAGGAAGCCAAGTTCTTATGACAACTTTTAAAAAACTCCTAGATCAAGCTGTGCCTGAAACCAGACACTCTTGAAGTTTTCAGTTATTTGTACAAATAAATTTCCCCTCCCATATACCCCATCCTTTGTTTCCCCCAAACCAGTTTGAATAGTCTTTGACTCCTTATATCCTAGAGTCTCAACTCATACAAGACCACCAGTTTTATTTTGTTAGATTCCACCCAGAACAATGAAGACCTTCAAAGGCAGTCTCTGCTGAGAGACAGCACAGCCAAGGGCCACATCACAAGTGCCCGTCTCCTGTTCCCTCCTGTCATCACCCACCCGGGACTCTGGGAGTGGCACGAGCTCGGCAAGGAAGGCAGCATTTCTACAGCCCAGGACAGGAAAGGGCTGCCACAAACTGGAGACATTCCTGCGGCAGACTCGGGGGGACACCTTCTTCACAATAAGAAAGTGGCTGAAGAGCGCCACGTTATACTGAGGCTCTCCTCTCCTGAGCCACCCCAGAATCCTGAACAGGTCACTCCACCTTCTGGGGCCCGAGACCCTCGGCCTCTCCACCCACTGCCCAGCAGGCCAGCAGAGCAGCGACGATGCAGGGGTTGGAGGGCAGCCATCAGGAGCGGGGCCACCCGGACCTGGGTTCACATCTCTGCTCTGCTGTGTGACTCTGGGCCAGCTCCTTAACCTAAGCATCATCTGGTCAAGAAGAAAACAGAGGTAATCCCCCTTTCTGATTTTACACGTGAGGATAACATACATGCAGGCAGCGACCACAGACTCTGGCATGTACTGACTATCCATAAAGTAGAGGCGATTACTAACGTATTTTTTGTATTGCTCAAGCTTGCCTGGGACGTCAAGACGTGACAACATCCCCATGAAGCTCTTACAAAATGGGTGGGGATCCCCACTCTTCAAAGAACCGCCCGCAGGTGGCTCCCTTTCCCCGCAAGAGTGCTGTGGGGTCGGGCAGGGGACGCTTGAAGACACGTGGCTTTTGAATGGGACATGTTCGTCTTCCACTGAGTGTCCTGCGTTCTCTCCAAGAACCCAACCCTTGCTCCCGAAACGGGACAGAGCAGGGAGCTGCTCCACAGGCCACGTGAATTACGGGGTGGGGAGCGAAGGACGCCAGTCCTGGACAGGGCCGACGGGGCACACGCACGGGATCACGGAAGACTCACCCAGCATGATGGCGTCCACGGCTCCCCCAGGGCAGAACTCGATCATGATCTGCAGAGACACAAAGCAGAGGAACGGTGAGCTGGGGCACGCGGCCCACGTGGTGGGGAGAACCCCGGTTCCAGCCTTGAGCCAGGCAGGGCCGGCCGGCACCCGAGGCCCCAGTGCCCGTGCTCCCCAGCCTCTCCTCCTCCCACCCCAGGGCGTTCGGTCTGCACCACCCCCTAACCCAGCTGCCACCCTCATAGGGGGCTCTCACGCCCAGAGGAGTGACTGGGGCACTGCATTTTTCAGAAAAAGGGAAACCAAGTTGCCATGGAAAACCACAGGTTCAGCGAACCCCCTTCCAGCCAAGCCTGCAGCCCACCCCCCCCCCCGCCCCGCCTACTTGTCCCCACCTCCCAGCTGCCCCGCTTCCTATGTTCCACAGCCAGGGGGCTCAGAGGACACCTTGAGCCCAGGTACCAGCCGGCCAAGCCCTCCCAGAACACCCAGCACTGGTCTCTCACCTCCCTCCACCTGCCAGAGCCCAGGGCCCTCGCTGCAACAGAACATCAGAACCCCAGGACCTTGAAGACCAGCTCAGATGGAGAAACTGAGGCCCAGAAAGGGGATGTGACTGACCAAGGCCACTCGGATTGTTTGATGGCAGGTCCTGGATAAGAAAGTAGACTATCTAACCCCCAGGTCATTCATTCATTCAATCAACACACACCCAATAGATGTCCTTGGAAGAAAAACCGGACCCAGACCTTCAGGGGCTCCTAGCCCTGTGTGGGGGACAGAAAAGGACAAGTAAACAATGCCATGGGTACCAAGGCAGGCCCTCCCTCTCTGGTGCACCCCACTCCTCAGTCTTTCTCGCCCACTCTGAGCTCCTATCATGTGTGCAAAGACACTTTCTCTGTTTTCTTAAAGTAGGAACTCAGCTGGGTTGGGCAGGGGTAAAACGTCACAAGCTTGAGGACACACTGCCAGAAGCTCCTCCCAGCTCCGGCTCCTGGCTCCTGCTTGTGGCAAAGTCCCTCCAACCACGCTCAGCCGAGGCAGGCACACTGCCCACAGGGTGCTCAAAAAGGCCCCCTCGCTCTCCAAACAGGAGAGAAAACCTCGGCCGTGAGCTGCTGGGCCACAGTCAACTCTCCAGCCAGAGGAGGGAGGGGGGCCTCAGTGTTTTGATGAGGCCTCCAGCTTGTGGCCAACCTTCCAGAAGCTTCCTGGTGATGTAAATATGAGGCTGCAGCAAGCACGGCCGGACCCAAGTCCACCACTCACTAGCTGTGGCCTTGGGCAAGTCACCTCAACCATCCGAGCCTGTCTTCTCAGGGGGCTGCTGACGCTGTTGCTCTTAACTGGGCCCCATCACTGGGCTACATTTAGGGGGACAAGCCACACCTAGATGCCAGACCCCACAGCAGGTCAAGCAGGGGCTTTAAACTGGGCAGGGACACTAGAGGTAGAGGGGTCCTAGGGGCAACAAGACGGCGCTGGCCCTCCTGGCCCAGGGCAGCAGACAGGCCTGCACCACGCTGTGGAAGGCTCCTTGGTGCGGGAGAGAGCTACGCAGGGGACACTCGCCCGCTCGCACACCACCGCCTGCCGGGGACAGGCTCCTCCGGTCACTCTGGTCCTGCCTGGCCGGTGGAACATCGGGCCTAACCTCAGCTCCCCCAGGATTTCTCTCCAACACCACAGTGACCGTCACCCGAATAAAAGTCATCAGTGACGTACTAGTGTCTTGCAACCCAAACGCTGAGGAAGAGGGACTGCTTTCTCCCACCCACCCACTCAGTCATTCATTTGTTCATTTAACCAACCACCAACCAACCGAGCTTGTCCCCAGGGCTCGGGGGACGGAGGGACGCAGGACAGAGGCATCGACCTTTGCAAGCACAGCGCATCATTCTGCCTGTTAATAATTCTCAACTCCACAAAAGAGGACAGAAAACCCTAAGCATTGCTGGAAAAAGCCCAGCCACAGAGGCAATGGTGAAAAACAGAAAACGTGTCATCATGCAAAGCTGCTTCCTGTGAGCGGCCCCGACGATGGGGCGATAAGCACCCAACCCCACGGGCCTGACACGGTCGGCCAGGCCTTGCCGGGCGCCGGGCGTCTGGCCAGGGCTCAGTCAGTATGAGCTGTTACTAGGACTCCTTCCTTGCGCTTAGAGGTTCATTCTTTTTTGTTTTTGTGTGTTTTCTGAGATTCCATGAAAGTTATCCTTTCTCTTCTCATTCAGAAAATGCAAACAGGGACAAATGTTCGTGTGCAATTCTACTGAATTCTTGCACGCCCTGAAGTCCCACCGCCAAACCCAGGTCAGGAAGCCACACTCAGCTTCTCCACGCCTTCCCATCCGCGTGGGCCTGGCAACGCCCTACCTCGCTGTAAAATGGGGTAATACTGTGGACCCCCAGAATTACTGTAAGGACTGGATGAGGGGTGTTTATAAAGCCACGAGCCCAAGCCCCACACACAGTGGATACACGACAGGCGCAGACACTTGCTCTTTCTCTAACAGGGTGCAGGGGAAAAGGAAAAGGCGGCAGACTTGGGTTTGAGTCCTGGTAGTGCCACTTAACTGGCTACGTGACCTTGGTAAGCCACTTAATGTCCTTGAGCCTCCATTTCCTCATCTGTAAAACAGCCCCACTCAGCTCTGCCTCCAGCACAAAGACAGCGAAAGAGACGCACGACAGGAAAGCCACACCCAGTCACACACGCTGGCTGAATCTCGAGCAAACGACACACCAGAAAGCATCTCCCTGGACCACGTCATTGAGACTCCTACAAAGCCTGCCTCCCCGCACTAAGTCTATCAACAAACAGTCAGCCTGAGAGGCGGCCACACCCAGGCAGTTCCTGCACCTTTCGGTGAAACCATCCTTCACACGACACCCTGACACAGGCCCCTGAGAGCCCTCCTCTCCGAGGGCAGCACTAGGAAGGCGCAGCGTTGCCCCAAGCTGGTCTGCTTCCTCTTTGGTAATTCGAGAGCTCCGTGACCCCTTGCACTTCCCCTTTTCCTTTTTGCTTTGGCTGCTGGGAAGCTCTGAGCTTAGCTTTGGTTTTATTCCCAAGAATAAATGCACCAACTTTGGTTCTACGCCAGGATGGAACCCATGAACCCTCACACTTTGTATATGGACCCCGATGACTTTTTTCTTAGGAGACAACTGCCCTGTCACCCACATGTCACAAGTGTGAGGTTTCCTTTGCACAGCTGTCCTCGGCACTGACCACGGCATGTGGCAGGGATGTTCCCTTAGCCTTTCTGTGAAAATGGCCTGACCACTCTTACTTGTGGCAAAATATGGTTGGTTTTTCTTCTTTTTTTCAAAGTGGTTTTTTTCCTCCATCCTTTTGGTTTAAAATTTTTCAAAGCTTAGTGCCTTTTATGTGATGCAAAAAAAATTTCCCTTTCATGACACAGTTCTTACTGGGTTCCATTACATGGGTCTTGACACGTTACCTTCCAGCCTGGCAGCACTGGGGTTGCAGGGGCTTTTACATAAATGCATGGGGTTTAATTAACAAAATAAGAATCTCGATTAAAATATCAATAATAACAGTAAGCAAAAATAAAACGATCATCTCAATGCCGTAGGAAGTTACTCAACACGCATGCTTAGAAAAGAGCACGGAAGCGCATCATCAAGACCCCGGGGTCGTGGGATCTCTGGAGGCTGGGAAAGCAGAAGAATAGCGGATTTGCGGCAAACAGCAAAAAGGCCATTTCATCAGACCTGGTGCCCTGGGCATCATGGCTGCCCTTCCCCTGCACACCCAGCATTTCTCCCTTCCCCTTTGCGAAATGGCCATGTGAGCTGGGTAGGACTCATCCCACCCCTGGTGGGGAGAGGGCGCCTAAACCAATCAGGGAAAGTCTCTGCCTCTTGCCCTGACGGCTGGCTCAGGACTAGTCCAATCAGAGCGAAGCTGGTGAGTTCTGCTTGATGGTGTGGGATGCTGTGATGTCTCTCTCTGGAGCAAATTAGGAAGCATACAGCCCCGATGGTTGCAGGCAGCCACCTTACAACCATGAGGGAAACCAGTGTGAAGACAAAGCTGAAAGAAAGAGAAGGGTGGAGAGAATCCTGGCATAACAGAGCCCCACTCAAATCTGACCTCCCTCCAGACTTTGCAAATAGAATATACAAGCCAATTCATTTCTTCCGTTGTTTAGGTTAGATTAAGTTGAGATTTCCTGTTCCTTGTTACCAAAGCATCTGATCTCACAAGAGATGATGAGGCTGAATTAGGGCAATGAGAGAGGAGGACAAGGATGCCATCTCGTTGGGGAAATAAGATTTTCCTAGGAATCTTTAGGTGATAGCAGGTAAGAACACTACACCAGTGGTTCTCAAACATGAGCGTGCATCTGACTCGCCTGGAGAGCATGGTAACACACACATCACCGGGCCCCACCCGAGTTTCTGGCTCAGCAGGTCTGGGGTAGCATCCAAGAATCTGCGTGGCTGACAGATGCCCCGGGGATGCTGCTGCTGGTCCCAGAACCATACTTTGAGGACCACTGCTCTACAGGGACTTGCAAAAGAGCAAGAGGCCTGGGCCTTGGGGCCACATGGCTCCTCCCTCTAGCAAAAGCGGAACATAAGATGGTGGCAGAGAAATACTGGGGGCAAACTGGCAGAATTATCATTTCTTTGATGCTCCTTATTCACCTGAACTTCATCATCAGTGTTCCTTTTTCTTCCTGCCGCTAAGCAAAGAGCTAGGGGCTCGGGTAGGATGTCAGGTCACCCTGGCGAGCCTTTACCAAGTGATAGCTTGAGGAGCCCTGAGCACACCCAGAGGCTTTTGGGACTCACACTGTGAAAGTGGTCAGATGGAAACAGAGTCTATTTCAATGAGTATTTTCAAAGAAATAAGTATAAATAGAGTTATTTAAATACCCTTCCATCTTTTAAAAAAGCTTTGAGGGCCTCTGAATGTGTGTCAAGGAGTCTATGGGGGTTAGCGAAGATGATGTGGGTAGAAATGACCAAAAGCACAAGCAATAAAATAAAATATAGATACACTGGACTTC